CCATCTGTGGAACCNCGTAAAACCTTGCGGAGGGACTGCCTCTCATTAGAGTTGTGCTTGCTCGCATGGATTGATGCCAATCACAATGTTTCGTAGTCGTCGGGTCTTGATGAAGTTGTTGAAAATGCATGTCACTATTTAAAGTTTAATCTTTTTTCTACAAATCAAATCGACATAAAATTTTGGGTGTATATAATCAACATCGTGGTGCACCATATAAAAGCTAAAAAAATATTTTCAAGAATTAAAATGACCAAATTACCCGTGCCAGTTTTCATAGGTATTTTGGTCGTTTCACATTTTGAAAAATATTTCTTTTATAATTTTTTCTTGTGCACCATATTTTTTAGAACACACGCCCAAAATTTTATCTTGATCAGATTTGCAGATAAAAGATTAAAATTCAACCAGCGACATGTATTTTCAACCATCCGATTAAGATTTGACAGCTGGTGCTCCACCTATATTATTATTCATTATAAATGCCACCTTTTGGTGTGTGTGTGTGTGTGTGTACACATACATATGCCTACCAAGATTCCAATTAATTGAGGCACAATACACTTTTTTTTGTCCGAATTTGGAACATTAGAGCTTCCAAAAGGATGAAAATCCCTAAAATGGAAAAATCCAATACCTGAACTTCTTCAGGAGATGGTTATGGTGTTATTTACCTATCCTGCCCTTTCATCCCAAAGAAAAAGAAGAAGCAAATGCTATATAAAATTCTATCTTGTCATTGGTATTTGTACAAAATGTCCACAAATGAAAATGATAAATTTTGTGGTGCACCTGGCAGTCTTAGTCTACCGATTGAGAAATTTAGCTTGCAATTATTGTTTTTCTTTCTTTAGCTCCTTTGTCTCAGTTACAATATCATGTGCTCATGGTTGGCATTAATTGAGAAATCATGATTCTTTCGTCATTTTGTCATTCCTGACAATCTTCATCTGATGCCACTATTTGAATTCATTATTTAATGTGTTAGTTTGCCAACAGACATGATTTAATTTGTTTCTTTCCTAGGCCCAGTTTGGACGGACCACTAAATATGAATTCTACCTTTTTTTTTAGCATGCTACTGTGGGGTGACATGTTTGTTTGTTTCCATTTATGAAATTGCTTGTGCGAAAATTCCACAAAGCCCGAGTAGTATCACCTTAAAAAGAAGCTGTTATCCTTTGGTTTTGTAATTGTGTGCAGAAGATTACACCTGTATTGTCCGTCCAAACTTAACACTCAAAATTTCTCTTGTAGCTTCAGAATGTAATCATCTGTGAAGTAGTGTGTTTTGTGTTTTTATTTTTTTTATATTTAAAGAAAAGTATGTGAAGAAATTTGTGTTACTGTGCTTCAAGCCTGTTCCTTTGTACTCTATGCACCTGTTATTTTCACAGTAGATACAGATAACAGCAGAATAGAATAATCATTCGTAAGTTAATGTAGAGAAAGCATTTATTATGCTTTTGAAAATTTATCTAAGGACCCATTAGAGATGAACTATTTAACATTCTAAGCATATTGTTTGATTTAATTTTAAAATACCTGTCAAAATTCACATGATCATGACCTGGAATAGTTGCAAATGGGTAAAATGTTAAATAGTTCATCTCTTAGTGGTATTTTGATAAATTTCCTTTATGCTTATTATAGAACCATATATTATACTCAATGCTTCTCCAACTATGCAAGCTGCCATGAGGAACCTCTCGTGGAACTTTGCATGCACGTTGTAAATCACTGCATTTAGGAGTTCAATGTCCATATTGTGTCCAGCTGATCAAGTTTAAAATAATAAGTTGAAATTGTTGAAACACTAAAATAAAAAGTTTGAATTTTTTTAAATTTTGTGATTCAGAAAGTATCCTATTATATATGCATAATTGATTGCATTCGAAAGGTATGAACCATGGGATGATTCTATCAAAATTCTTCTTGCATGTGGCCTATACAATTTCCTGCCAAAAAAACCCATTTTTTTTGTGATTGCATCAAACTATGCATGGCTTGTATATTCTCAGGTATGTTGTCGTCTATGAAATCATGTAAGCAATCTAACATCACGAAACACATAAATTTATGATGGAAACTGGTTTAGACAACAAGCTTATCTAGCAAATGGACAATAGAACTATATATTCCATTTAGCATCAGTAACATTCCAAACTTGATTGTATTTGACTACCAACAAAGGAAAAAAGAAGAAGGATGTTAGCTAACTGGTTATTTGGACATGGTTAACATTTACTGTGATTCCTTGTATGCCCTTATGCATGGCTTGTTAGGTAAAGCTTACTCATCACTGTAAGCCCCTGCACCACAACTGGAGTTGGGGTGTTCTATGGCATACTAAAATCTAGGTCTGAAGTTCTTATCCACCATCAGTGCTACGTGGCCCTGAGAATAAACCAGCCTCCTCTTATCTCTGTGCTTTTTTTTTTGATAAATTATGATCCTTGACTTGGATTTCTCTCTTATCTCCTGATTGGGAACTAATGTGATAACCATAAGTTTTGAACCCTTATTTATATTCATATCTCTGCACATTGGATTGAAATATCACAAATCATTTATGGCATCCTTCCATATTGATTTATCTCCGTATTCTTTTTCTTTCATGAGGTTTCAAAATGATCATTTGTTTGATTTTGTATTGGTTGGTCATGTTTGAGTCTTATCCTTTTGCTATCTTCCAATTAGAACTCAACAAGCTTTTGTTTTGGTAAGAGAACAAACATGTGCATCCTGTGGACTTCTTTCACGAGGAGAACATTGATTGGTCTGCATCATGGCCTCCACACTCCTCAAAAATTCAGATAATCAATTAAAACAACATTGAACTACTTATAAACTCTAATAATTATTTGTTCGTGTTTAGTAATATAGACTGGCTTATGGTTGTTTGGCCACATGGTATTGACTTCATGATTTGGTGGTTATTTGGTGTGTTATCTTTTTTCATATTTTGTTATTGTTAATTTGATCGATCTGGACTATTCTAGTCATGTCCAATGAAAAATCAGATGGAAATTTGCCAATGCGTTTGCCATGGTTCCATGGACTCTTCAGTGTTTTTCCATCATGTCCTTTTCTCTGTTCATATATTTGTCTTCCTGATTTCTGTAATATTTGGATGAAACTAATGACATCTGTGTTCTGTATGTGTTTACTTGTGTTTCAGACACATCCTTCTCAGTCCTGTTTCATGTCATCTATCGATCTTCACACCCATTATTCATACCAGGTGATGAGTGATTGTTATGCTGTCAAGTGTTTATCATGTGTTACATGTTAAGGTAGCAACCAACAAGCACAACACTCTCAAATGAGTGCTGCTCAACATAAAAGTACAATTTTCGCTGTTGCGAAGCACTCGTTTGAGGTCAACAAGCAAAAGCGCTCTTCCACATTTCTGCGATGTTCCCCCAAAAAAGAGAGAGAGAGAGAGAGAGAGAGAGAAGAAGCGAAGCACTCGTTTGAGGTCAACAAGCAATAGCGCTCTTCCACATTTCTTCGATGTTCCCCCAAAACGAGAGAGAGAGAGAGAAGAAAGCGAAGCACTCGTTTGAGGTCAACAAGCAAAAGCTCTCTTCCACATTTCTTCGACGTTCCCCCAAAAAGAGAGAGAGAGAGAGAGAGAGAGAGAGAGAGAAGAAAGACTACACTACCT